TGGCCTTAGTGAAGATCCATTTTCAAAAAAAATTGCTTAACTGCTCTTTTGAGGTCAGTGGTTATTCTACCCTCTCTAAATTTAATACTCCACATTTTCCTCTTAACTTCCCCATCCAGCATGAGTCATTTGTCTCACATCAGCAAACAGAAGTTCCCCATTTCCCCCAGAAATAGCTTATATCTGAGATTGTTTGTTCATCCCTTTAGTCTCAGACGCTCCTCCACCGCCGCCTCCTGCAGAAGAGGTGGAGTTTGAGGAAGCAACCCCGCCCCCACCTCCTCCAGAGGACTATGAGGATGAGGAGGGTGAGGATGAGGAAGAGTCAGCGGTGGTGGAGTACAGTGACCCCTACGCTGAAGAAGACCCACCATGGGCCCCTCGAAATTATATGGAGAAAGGTACGTTTCTGTTTTTAGCATTTATTTCTGGCTGTTTCTCCCAGTGCACAGAAAACACTTGTTTGGGCATCTAGGAAAGCAGCTATTTTCATTGTAGGTAATAAGCCATGCAAGTGTAGCTCCTACTGATTTGAATGGAGAAAGATCCATATCTCCAACACTGTTGCTCATGATTGCATTTCAATAATGTATATAATTATTGATTAATAATAGCAATGTTATCATAAATGTTGTTTGTTTAGCTCAAATGACAAAAACGATGTATAATCATGCAGATTTTTTTACAGTTAATACATTTGACTGAAAATCTATGGACGCCCATTTTTGCTACATAAGAAAAAGAAAATCAAGCTTTGATAAATCAGAAAGTTGAAATTGACAAAGTCGAAAATTTGTGAGATTGTAAAATAAAAACTTAATGACAAGTTTGTTATAATGATTTGTTACAATATTGACTTTTTATCTGACGATTTTGACTTTTTGTTATAATTACGAGATAAAAAGTCGAAATTGACAAAAAGTCGTATCTCAATAGTAGTATCTCATAATTTAGACGTTTTGTGTCATAGTTATGACACATGCATGATTTTTTTTCTTATTTAGTGGAAATGGGCTTCCATAAAAAATGTATAGGGTTTTAAATTTTAATTTAACTTGTAGGGTATTGAAAATCTGGCCAATGCTGATAATTTTTTTTATATTGTGGCCAATAATAACTTAAATATTATAGAAATATAATAAAAATTTTAATAAAAACTACATAAACTAAACACTAAAAATGAAAATCAGTCACTTTGAATATTGTATTGAATAAGTAAATAATTAATATATATATATATATATAAACATAAACTACATAAAAATACAACACAGGCAAAAATAAGTTGTTTTAAATATTAAAAGTAAATTTAGGCATCACAACATAATGTACAGTATGAAAAATACATAGTGTTATTACATTATTAGTGTTTTTAAATTATAAAATTAGATTTATACATTAGGTTGTTATAGTTGACTAAAACTACAACTGAAACTAAAAAACAATAAAAAAACATTTCTTGAAATAAACTTGAAACAAACTTAATTTAAATATAAAAAAAGTTTGTATTTCAGCTAGCTGTCAAGGCAACATTTCTTAATTTAGTTTAACTTGATGTACTAAAATAACTAAAACTGAAATAAAAATGAATACAAACTATATAGACATATAAAAAACAAATACTACTAAAACAAAAACACACATCAAAATTACTAAAACTTTAACCGAAATTAAAATGAAAACGGAACACACAAAAATGTTCCAATATATTGGAACATTTTTGTGTGTTCCGTTTTCATTTTAATTTCAGTGCTAATTTCGATGCTAACGCTACTCCAGAGTAGGATTTCATGACCCTGGGCACAAAGTGGTGCTAACCCTGATTCTAAATCACTTGTGTGAACAGTCCTTTACCCAGGTTTTTAAAGCAGTGTTTAGAATGGCGATAACCCGGGGTTAAGCGCAGTGTAAAAAGCTCTAATGATACTAAATTTATCAGTGGCATACATAATTACATATTCACTATGAAGCTAAATGAAAAAAGTCCCTAATATTGGCCTATAACCAATATGATGGGGATATATTGTGCTATATACAGTATTTACAGTGCAGCACAGTCTGTAGTGCTGTAACACTTAATTACAATAAATACATGACCAGACATTGTGTTTTTCTTCTTTTTATCATGCCATTCCCATCAGTGGTGGCTATTTACGACTACGCGTGCGACAAAGAAGACGAGCTGTCCTTCCAGGAGGGGGCGATCATTTACGTCATCAAGAAGAACGACGACGGCTGGTTCGAGGGCGTGATGAGCGGCACCACGGGCCTCTTCCCCGGGAACTACGTGGAGTCCATCATGCATTACGCTGACTGAGCCAGCGGGTGGCGCTACTGCTCCTCTGTCCATCATCTTCCTCATTCTTTTGAGTGCGCATACACACACACACACACACACACAAATGAATTCAGCTACACTACGTCATGCACAAGCTTGTTGCAGACAGACTGAGAACTTGCGGTGGCGACGATTTTAACGGGAAAAAACTGTTCGAATGTGTAAGATATATATACATTAGGAACATTTATTCATCTCTTAATTTCAGCCTCTTAGAAACATGTATCAGAAAAGTGTTGGTTTGCTTGACTTGTGTTGATAGTGATCGCTTTGCTTTCGCTCCTATCCGTCTCTACTCTGGAGGAATTGGTCTGACTAGCAGAAGGACAGTTGTACTTTCTCGTGGAAGACGGCCATCTTGGATGTGCATGTTCCTTTTACATCACCTCTTAACCGTGTGCTGTCCACTGACCAGCAACTGACAAAAAAAAGCATTTGCCAAGATTGACAGAACAGGGATTTTATGCATATTGTGGTGCCAGGCAATAGAGAGAGACGCATGGATTCAGGTGGGCTTCTTTTCTTTCGTTTTTCATTGCGTTGGGAGTTGGATTTCTTTTAAACCGTTACATTTTGAGTGCAGTTCAGTTTGATATGGTTAGCAGGAGGATATACCAAAGGATTTCAGTGGCGTTTGGGACCGACTACAACCTTAAAATACTTCTTTTTCACCATTCCTTTACGTTCATTTCTTTCCAACAAGATTTTATTGCTCGAAATACTTGCAAGTATGTGTATTCTTTGTATGTAAAAAATAACAAAAAACACTATTAAATTGTTCAGGAAGTTTGTGCCATAAAGAAATGTTCGTAGATGGTCATATTTTCGGACGTGAGAGGTTGTTTCTTGAATCTTCAGCACCGGATGTGTTGTTCTTCAGGAAGAACATGTGTATTGTGATCTTTAACCTCCGATTCATCCCTTTGACCAACTGTGGACTTAAAGATACAAGACTATTCTATATGTATGTTATATATTGATTTATATTATAGAAATACTATTTTGTTGGTGTATGACTGGTGTAGAGACAAGAGAACCCCATTTATCTGCAATAACAAAGGCACAGTTAGAAGGTCCTCAGTCGACGAGCTAGAGATTTTTAAAGCACAAGAGATGCACGTGATCTTAGGGAGACCTTATAAAATGTGAAGAACTGATTTTTGGATGAAGAGACACTAAAAAACAGAAACCAGCCCAAGTTTTAAACCTCCTCGTACCCACATGCAGATAATGTGGAACAAACTGTACTAATGCACAGAGACTTTTTCTATCGAGTACTTTGATGTCTATATGTAAGTGTGTGTGAGTGCGTGAAACCGATCGATTTCACCGTTTCTGGATCATTGGTGACTGACTCGCTTGTCTGTGTGCAAATCTTTATTTTCAATGAACGGTCTGTGGCGAGGCTGTGTGAATCGAGTCTTGCATGTTGATCATTTCTGTGATTTTCCTGCTGATGGAGAATAAACTGGATATATCTGGTCTACTTGTTCATGCTTCCTCCAGGGTCAAGGGTCGTATAAGGTTTTCTCCTGGAGCGGATAAGAACCAGACGCTGTTGTGTGAGGAATTGATTTCTGGTTGGATTTATCGGTCATCCAGAGCACTGCTAAGAGAAATGTAATAGTTTTACTCCTAACATCTAATAATGTTTTAGGTTTTATATTAAGTGAAATTAGAAGCGGTCATATAAAAAAAAAAAAAAATCTTTAAAATAATTACACTTCAAATAAAAATCTAAATATAATTGAGAATTTTTTTTATTACTAATGCACAATGCCATTCCAGGGTCTTACTTTTCTGCACCTTATTCACATTTCTATAAATCAGTCAGTTTAATTTTCAGAATATTAAATATAGTGAACCACTTTTGTTGAAGAAAATTATGTAGGAAAACAATCACTTGCTAGCGCAGCATCTTGTGTGTATATGCACATAAATATATATATACATATTTTTAATGAAGTCTGTTATGCTCACAAAGGCTGCAAAAACAGTAATATTGTGGCATAATTATTATTAATAAATGGCTTTACAGTTTAAAAGGAATGTTTTCTATTTTAATATATTTTTAAAATGTAATTTATTCCTGTGATGCAAAGCTGAATTTTCAGCATTGCTCCAGTCTTGTGTCGCACGATTATTCAGAAATCATTTTAATATGCTGATTTGCTGCTCAAGAAACATTTATTATCCATGTTGAAGACAGTTGTGCTACTTAATATTTATGCAGACACCATTGTATTAATTTCTGCTTGTCACCAAGGCAACATTTCTCATTTTAATTTAGTTTACCTTAATGTACTAAAATAACTAAAACTGAAATAAAAGAAACTAAATAGACATAAAAAAAAAAGAAAAGAAAAAAATTACAAAAAAATCACAAATGACCTTGAAATGAACTTGTCACAACTACTAAAATAACTAAAACTGAAATAAAAGAAACTAAATAGACATAAAAAAAAAGAAAAGAAAAAAATTACAAAAAAATCACAAATGACCTTGAAATGAACTTGTCACAAATTAAAATAAAATTAATATGAAAACAGAAAATATAAACTAACTCAAAATATTCATACAAATTATAACAGTATCTCAGTGGTACTAAAAAAAAGCAGAAAGATTTTCTTCCTAAGAAAAAGCAGAAATAAAGACAAGCAAACGGACTGGTCAAATTTTTATTAGTATTAATATGTTTAACATTAAAACCTTTTGGGTTATGTGCAAAGTATAAATCATTCCAACTCATGTTGAACTGGTAGACATTTTAGTCAATTTAAACAATCTTTACAGAATTCATCCATCAGTCTACACCCAATACCTCGGCAGCCCCTAAATGACATAATAGTTACACATTTGATTTAACTCATTAGAATTGGATTTTTTTTTTTTTGATTTTAAAAATGTTTTGCATCGTCTAGATTTGATCCTAGATTTTACTTCTCTACAATAGGATGTTTTAGCAGTGTATTAACTTACAGCAGAGCAAAATCTGTCGTTTAAAATAAAAATCTAGACTAAAGTGTAACTAGTACAAAAATCAATTCTATGTGTATTTCTTACATGTAATAATTGGCCATATATCACAAATCCCTAGTCAAATATATTTCCAGTATATAATCTGGTATCTGTAACAGTTCTAAATGAACACTAAACATTTAGTGCATCTTTTATAGATTTCATTGTACATTTCTCCTCTGCGAGTCCTTCCCTCTCCCATGGTCAACTTGGTACTAGTTATTTTCATCCGTTACATCCCACACACCCTGTTGGAGACTTTGAGCTCCCCGCTTAACAGAAACCCAGACACAGAAAAATGTTTACTGAGAGAGAAACTGGTCCAAATGTTTGCCTACACACAAATGTTTCTACGCATTATATTGCTCTTGGCATTCAGTCTCATTCTCTCTCTGCAATATTGATTGTTGCTATACAGGGAAACAAATCTGAGAGCAGCACACACACCCACACGCGCGCACACTAACAGGGGAAACAGGAAGAGGTTTAATGGAAGGAGAGGAAGGGTCAGAGTGAAATTTGTCAAAAGTGGTTTTATCTTGTTACCCAGCTGTCTTCACCACCCCCCTACGGCTCACAGATAAGAGTCTCCACCACAAACTTGTTCTCAAAGTGGAGAATCTTGTGGCAGTTGAGAGCCTCTCGCTTCTGGATACCTGTGAAAAAGAGAAAAATGCTGGTGAGTGCATGTGGCCCACGTATGTGTCAGAGCTCGATATCTGACAATTATGTCAACATGTACTCTGATGTATCTATATACTCGAATATATATATAGTAAAAAAGCAATACTCTCAAATTTTACAATTTAAAATGTTTTCAATTTGAATGTAATTTATTCCTGTGATGACAAAGCTAAATTTGTACATTTTCAGAAATCATTCTAATATGCTGATTTGCTGCTAAAGAAACATTTCTGCTAAGTAAACAGTTGTGCTGCTTAATATTTATGCAGAAACCATATATCACGATATTCATTTCTCCTTTTAATTTAGTTTACCTTGATGTACTAAAACTGAAATAAAAATTTAACTATATAGATATTTTAAAAAAAGGAATAGAAAATGAAAAAAAAATTACCTTAACTTAAAAATCGTTAAAAAAATGCATCTAATTATCGATGTTGAAAACAGTCATGATGCTTAATATTTTTGTTGAACTTGAGATACTTTTTAATTTCAGGATTCTTTGAGTTATAGGAAGTTTGAATAGAAAAGTGAATAGAAAATAATAAATTGGAAATCTATGAACTGTGATGTATGAAAATGCACATTTATTTTACCATTTTATTCCATTCTATTATTTTGTTTCAGTGGTTTTGACGCCAGACCCGGAGATCGGCTGAATGGATTCGAAAACGGTAAAAACTGAACCTATTTTCAAAAATAGTGGAGTGTTCCTTTAACTGGCAAATACTGTCTGTAGAGGTTAGTGTGTAATTAACCGAAGAACAATGGGACACTCGCCAAAAGTACAGATGAATGCATGTGTTTACCAAAAACGGCCTCTCTGTGCTCCAGTTTGTAAGTGTCTCTCCCTCTGCAGAGGCCGTAGATGAAGTAACCCAGCTGATCCACATGCTCCAACTTCCCGGTCACTATCATCTGTTCACGCACCAGGTAGGACTGAGGCAGGTATGTTCCAGCCTGCGAACACAACCAAAGGTTCACAGTCACAAGCTCGAACACCAGACTAGAACTGTGTTGCAAAGCCTTGCCAGGTGACAACCTGGACTTCATTTCTGGGCATTAGTCAAGTGTCTCAGTAGGCAGTTCAGGAGGTTTTGAGTCAGACTAAAGAATGGCTATTTTGAAGATGCTCAAATATAAGATTACCTTGATGTTGACAAGAAGCTCCAGGAAGTCTTTGGGCGGCATCACGACAGAAGTGTTGAGAGGAATGACGTAGCATTTGTTCAGACGCAGATCCAGATAGGCTGTCAGTCTCTAAAAGCAGAGAAGGAAAACCAACATGTTACTATTTTGGTACATGTCGTTTATTTTTGGGAATCTGATGAAATTGTGTGTGAATGTATGGCTTTGTGAGGGATATAAACTTTGGCTCTCACCCTGTTGAAGTCATGAACGATGTCAGCAGGGTCGCTGTCGCTGAACTTGGGCACTGGGATGTTAATGAGCTCCACCCCCTCGTCCTCCAGAACCCTCACTCTCTCCTCAATCCTCTTGGATGCGGCTGGCATATCCATGTCAGTTTCCTCCTGGCTGTCCTGCATCTTGTAATTTTCCTCACGGTAGTTCACCCCGCAGAAATACATCCTCTCCTCCTGAAGACCATCATTATGAATAGACACATTCATTCACCATGATCAACTAGACACACATCATTCTGTTAGATCAGGGGTGCCCAATAGGTCGATCGCAAAGGCAATGCTGGTAGATCACACATCATTTAAATAGCCTATGCTTTCTTAACCGGGGGCGCGAGATAACTTAAAACTAAAATATAATAAATTCACTTAGGCTATTTTATGATTAATATGTTAAATAATTGTAAAAATATAAATAAATAACAGCACCACTTCTCTACGTATTCTGTGATATTGTGACGTGCAGGGGCGTAGCGTCTTGTATGCAGGGTATGCAGGTGCATATGGGCCCGGACGTATTGTGGGCCCGCCGAGCCGAGGGGGAACCATTAATTGAAACGAGGGAATGAATAGAACCCTGCAATGGCCCGGCCCTTCCGACAGCTTATCAATATATTCTCTGCCTGAGTCTGACCCGAGCCCGTGTCTTTTCTCTCTCGCTCTCTTTTACACAGCTGTTGTTGCAGCAAATAGGCTAGTCCAGTTTTGGTTTTTAATGGCAAAGTGGATATATTTCTTTACGTCTTTTTATTAATTTAGAAATATGTTTGGAACATTTTATGTTTGTTAAATTCAAGTTTTTTTTTTGTTTTTTTTTAAGTAACGACCAAGCGGCCAGCGGCGGACTGAGTTGTGCATATAAGTTTGAACAATTTAGCCTTCTCAAATCAACATGACTTGCCTAAAATAAAATCTATAGACATAAAACACTTAATGCAATTCACAATATTAATAAAAAAATTTAAAGGGTTAGTTCACCCAAAAATGAAAATTAGCCCATAAATTACTCACCCTCAAGTCATCCTAGGTGTATATGACTTTCTTCTTTCAGACGAATCCAGTCGGAGTTATATTAATCACTGCAACACCCGCTGAGTGGCATTAAACAGCTTGACAGGTCAAAGACAATTTTTTATATAACTCCGACTGGATTCGTCTGAAAGAAGAAAGTCATATACACCTAGGATGACGTGAGGGTGAGTAATTTATGGCCTAATTTTCATTTTTGGGTGAACTAACCCTTTAACCTAGATAAATGTGTGCCGTTAAGACAGCTTCACAATGATGAAACTTGCCTCCTCACAGACATGATAAATATATCTAATAGAATGCTTGAAATACTTTGAAACGAAATAATTCAAATAGAAAACAAAAACTCTTTCATCATGTAGGCTAATCCATAAAGATGTATTTCTCTCTAAAGGCGTGTGTCCTGAGGAGATGGCGAGTCAGGATCGTCAACTTCATCTTGTGACACTGACTCAGAAAATACTAGTTTATTAATTAATAATTCAAATATCTCCTTAGTATTTATTTATTTATTGTTTTTGTTTTTTGGGCTTCTGTGCCAAGATTGTGTTTGCATGCAGTACAAATAACCTACGGGGGCATTTTAGTACCATGTCGAAAAATAAGATTAACGTCATAATATATTAAGAATAAAGTCGAAATTAAATAAAACAGCTTGTGAATACACGTAACGTTAATCACTTCAGAAAAATGAACAATAAGTTAACCGAGTTGGAGCCAATAACGTTTGGGGGGGCCCATACAAATTTTTTTTGCATATGGGCCCGGGGCTGACTTGCTATGCCACTGGTGATGTGTTTCGGAGCAGCTCTAGCGGTTTCTCATCACGCTGTGTGAAATAGCGTCTGAACGGCGGCTCAAAACCGCTGTATGTATATGATACGCAAACTACAGCTCCCGGCTGGATAAATCAAGCCAGGGTCACGTTAGTAAAGTTTTGATGGATGACGACTGTAATCAAGGTAAAGACTATTAGTGACAGATACAGGAGTCGTACATTAGGCGCACATGTGTCCGTTATTATTGATGCGCACTGATCACTATAACATTTCTGCTTGAACAGTTCAGTATATTCACGTAGTTGTATATAGCGAGTGTTTTATAACGGATGCTCGTTTTGGAGAAGTTTGTGAGGATCAGTGGTGTTTATGTAGCCTACATATGGGCATCAGACACTCCAAACACAGAATGATGCCTTCAGATCGCTGAGGGTCCACACATTCAGAATGTTTTTAGTTTTCATTTGTACTTTTTGGTGTGTTTAGTGATCCTGAATGGATCCATAGTAGTTTTTTTGCAGTCCTTTGGCGTCTCCCTGTGGTCTTGTTTGGTATGGCAGGTTTACTTGTGCTTATTTGTTAAAATTATTGTATAATTGAGCTTTACATAGTTTTTCTATACAAGTTGTATAGAATATCTGCAGTGACATTTTTGCAAACTATGTTTGCAAAAAAGAACGCAGAATGTTTAAATCTATCTTGAATTTGTTTTGTTTAAAAATAATGACATGGAATTGAAAAAAAATTACACTAGAATACAAAGGCTACTAAGGGTAGGCCTACTAAGAAATTAACATTATTATTTTTTATTTTAAAATGAAATTAAATGAATGCAATATAAAGATACATCCCAACAAGCTTTTTATATATTTATTTTATATGTATTTTATTTATTTATTTATTTTTCACTTGGTAGATCTCGGTGAGTTTCTCATTTGAAAAGTAGATCCCCACACAAAAAAGTGTGGCCACCCCTGTGTTAGATGTTTCAGTATGCTTTAGGAAATGGAATTTAAGACATTAGTGAGGTTTTGAAGTTTGCACCGATTTTGTAACCAAAGATTTAAAAAAATCATATTTAATTAAATAGTAAGGTTTTTACGTCACATCAGCTAGTTCAATTAAAAAAATTTTTTTTTTGCATTTTGATGGAATTTTTCTAGAGGAACTATAATTTGGGTAATAATGTAGATTAGTCACATTTATAGGGCCCATGATGTGGAAAACGTGGACTGAATTGCAGAATCCAGTCATAAAAACGGAATTTACTGTATAACGTGGAATGTCACAGAATTTGCCAAATTTTGGATGGATATATCAAAAGTAGGTCAGTACACTTAAATCAAAACACAGTTTGGACTAGTGTCTGTGAACATTAAACCACAAAAATACCATTTAAATATGAAGCCTGTGTTCTGCGTGTCTCTGTTTGAATGAATGGCACAGACGCACAGTTTTGTTTACTACAGAAGCGCACCTGACGCTCGCTGTGTTTTCAGCCTCTGCTGTCTCAATACGAGTACATCAACACATGAACATAATCTCTAGAACTGCTCTGAGAGTCACTTAATGAGCATTTTACCATTTTTTATGAGTAAACTATTGTCATATCATATACAAACAGAAACCTAAATGTCTTCACAGCAACCCGTCAAAATAAAAGTTTGGTTTAACTTGAAGAAACCGTGAGAGAAATAGTACCTAATGTAATTATAGTACTAACTACTACTAATAAAATTATTAAAACATTACTTTTAAAGGAATATTTACCAGAAAATTTATTTACCAGAAAAACGTAAATACACAACACAGTATTTCTGGAAAAAAATAAATACTTTTTTTTTTTTATATATATATATAAAATCAATTAATTAGACATTATTATTATTATTAATATTTAATTAAACCATTAAAATGGAATCCAGAAAATTAATGGAAAACAGAATTTGGAAAAATAAAATATTTAAAAGGGTCTTAAAAGTGTAATTTTTTGTTAACTTTTAATGACTTGCTCTTTAATACCACAAGTTTCATGATTTCAATTAATAAGACAAGCTTTCTGATGAATACAATTTTATTTAACCATTAAAACAGAGCATAGAAAAATTTTTACGGAAAAAATGGAATCCAGAAAAATTTTAACTGAAAAAATGGAATTTGGTTATTCACCGCCGACAAGATATGATCTTAATTAAATGGGAAAAAAAATCTAAATCGTTGCTACACCATGACTAGAGAAAACAGAAATAGTGCTGTGGTATTTCCATTAGCCAAAAACTTCAACACCCATAATGCACTCTGTCAATACAACTTAAAAGTATACTACTAACATTGTAACAATATAAAGTCTTTAAAAAATATATATCGTTGAACTCATCCTGTAATGCAAAAACTAAAAAACAAAACTAAAATTCAATTAAAACCTAGTTAAGGCATGAATTTCAATCATACTGACAAAGAAATCAATAAATATATGTTTGGACTTTTTATTGTCTTATATTTTGAAGTAAATCTTAAAACATTTGAATACTTTTTAAGGATCCAACAGATCACATTCATATTCGGAGTTCTCATGTGGTGCAGCGGATGGAAATGGTTCTCTCACCTCTATGAAGTAATACCTGTACAGGTAAGCTCCGCCCACAACCACGCCAGACAGAATGAGGGCCAGACCCAAACACATGCACCAGCACCAGGCCCTGGACTGTTGCCTGATACGCAGACCATCCTCCAAGTCCTGTATGCACACACAAGCAGGAAGAAAAGGCTTCTAGTAAAAATGATGTTTCTTTAAGCAGTTGATGACTTCAACGATATATGCTACTTTTACTCTTTAGTTAGCTTTGGTATAGACATATAATCTAAATTTTTATGTAATATATGGTCTCACTGCATGACGCCATGTGTATGGGAACTACTGTTGGGAACTGTGTTTTTGTTTCCAAATGTTCACATTTTTCTCGCTGAAATCCCCACAGATCGCACTCTCTAGTGCACCTGCATGTGTTTATTTGTGTTGAAGGAGAGAGTTTTCATCAATTTTATGTGCAAGCGTATTAAGACTGGGTGTGGCTTTGTACAAAACAATTGCATTGTGTGCAACAGATACTGGGAAATTTCCAACCTCCCTCCAGAGACTAACAGGAACAAACACAGTGCATGATGCAAATGAACAAAACATCAGCTGACACAGTGTCTGATGAACAAGGATGAAAGTGAAAACAAATCAGACTGAAAATGGCGACAATTTGGCACCAAATCTTGTTGGTCCTTATTTGTTTGTCATATATTTTTCATATACAACATAATGAGAGCAAAAGAAGATGAAGTAGCTAAGCTTTCCTGTGTTTACAACAGCCATCATGTTGCAGACTCCAGGGAAATTATGAGCAACAAAAACAAGTTCATTTCAGCTAGAAACATCTATATTGTATACATGAAGGTTTGTTTACAGGTGTGTCTAAGAGATGCAGTCTGTACTAAATGTCCCATGACAATGCTGCAATTTAAATGAGTCTAGTCATCATTACCTCTCCTCTAGTTTCAGTAAACACCAACATTATGATCTTGCACAGACATATTTCATATTTCAAATAGTGTCTGTTTGAAAATATTTAGGGCTGCAAAAATGATCAATAATGAAAACAGTCAACCAACACATTTTAATATCGATTAGTCAAGGTCTGTGTACTCTGAACCACCATCAGCGTCAAATTCTTCATAAAGCAAGGTCACATCAAAAAGAAAGTTAAACAGGGAAATTTAAAATTTATCTCAATAAACTAACAGTTATTTTGATAATGTATTATTATGATTATTTCTTCAATCAAATAAAATGGCTAGTTTTTTTATTATTAAAATACTAAAATATTCTGTTGCTTACAGTATTTGTTGTTAGACAAAAAAATATATAGAACATGTAATAATGTATGGCATAAGATTTATATAATATATATGATTTTATGGAACTATTTATTTTGTAATGTCCTTGTTATACATGATACATGTATTTACTATAATTACAAAATTAACCTTATTGTAAGTAATATAAAGATTTTAAAACTATAATTAATAGAGCCTGACTGATATATCGTTTTGCCGATATTATCGGCCGATATGAGCCTGTCTTATGATATATGGGTATGGGCGAATATGCCCCCGATATGAATTTTTTTTAACAGAACATATAACGCAGATAAAATGCTTGAAATGGTGTAATTACTTAGTTTGTCCAGCAGTGCGCTCCATTGTTTGCTACTGGCGACCTGGATGAAACGCTTAAAGGGGTCATATGATGCGATTTAATTTTTTTGTAAAAATCGACGCGTTTCAGAAGGCGGGGCATAGAGGAGAAACAATAATGGACAGTATGTGGAAAATAATGTGTTTTTTTTTTTACTTTAAACCGCATAAACACATTTCATTACACCAAATACACAAAATAATGTTCTTTTTAGCAGCATCATATGACTCCTTTAAAGCTTAAGTCTATGGAAAACCACTGAAATTTTGAACAGCCATATCTCCGTAACGGTGCGGCGAATCCGCACCAAATTCGGGGGATCCCTTCAGCTCGAGGAACCCTCTCGAACGCAAATTGAGTGTACGTCTAGAGGCCCGCTTTCGAATGAATCGTCTGTGTGTGAAGACAGTAGCGCAAATCCGTGAATGAATGTTCCGAAGTGAAATAAACTTCAACGGAATAAAGTTGAATGGAACTGAATTGAATTAAAGTTGAATAAACTTCAACTTTACTGTTCAGTGCACTGATGTCAGACTCATTTTGGATAATAAAGTTTATTGTTAAATTGTTAAATGCCCTGCCTCCATTACGTATCTCTGTCACGTCATTATAAGTGTTTGATCACCACAATTTGAGTGATCATTGCAAAAAATGTGTTTATGTATATATATTCTGTTTATGTATATACTGTATTCTAAATATAGTACCAGTCAAATGTTTGGACACACGAATGGGAAAGTGTCCAAACTTTTGACTGGTACTGTACTATAATATACACAAAGAATATTGGCCGATATATCGATATCTGCCTTTTTTTAATCCCTAATATCGGTATCGGCCCCAAAAAACCCATATCGGTCGGGCTCTAATAATTAATATTACTAATATTAATAAGTACACTGTAATGACACCTTAAAGTGTATGAAAGTAACTGTTTATATATATTTTTTTCAATAAAATACAGATCGCTCAATTATCAAAATAAACAGTTAGTTACAAATATCTGCACCCATCAAAAATGTTAAAAATTACATACAAAAATAAACATACACATTGATTATAAATCCTGATTAGGCAAATATTTGAAGCTGCATATTCAAATGCTCTTCTACTGAATTATTACTAGTAGACTTTGAAGTTATACTAGACTTTTGAAGCTATAATCTAGGACACAAATCCATGTTTTAATTATCTGTGAAGGCACAGCATCTGCACAACATGAAATACATTCAAAATCACCCTAATGCAATGTTCGGCTTAATCTGTCTACATTTTTTTTCATTTTAGACTTCATTTCTTTTAATCTATGCAGCACACATGCATCAATATCTTATGGTCATGTGACGTTATAGTTGCATGAATGCACTTCCTGTTGTGGAGTTTGTAAAAAAACAAGCCTAAGACAAAAAGCTTCAAAGACTCACTCTCACGTTTACACACAAACACACCCGTTTCAAATACACACAGCCTTGCCCTCGCACACACAGACACACACTGCAGATTATGGCTTGGCTAACAGAGACCGTCTTTGTTTAAATAACCAGAGCCTTCAGGAGTTTTTCCAAGGAACAAAGGTGGCTGGTTTTGGTAGTTCAGTGAGGCTTTGATCACCTGTGTGACAGAGGATTTCAGACCACACAGCACGATCTTTACAGCTTATCTCATGATGAATTGACAACTTTTAACCAATTTAGATAAGTATTAGAGTCTCTGATTGACAGAAATGTCTAAAGGTAAGAAGCATTGCTCCATGCATGAAACCTTCTGAATCAATTTCTTCTTCTTTCATAAGACATATGCCTGCCGAAACGCTCCTTGTTGAAATAGTGCCAGTGAGATCAGGCTGCACGTTGGTCTGATCGCAGTGGCAGTGTTTCAGCAGACACAACAGTGTCTTATGAATGATTCACGACCTCTTCTTCTTGATTATCAACCCAATTCGCACACTAGGCGCTGACTCATCCTCAGTGGCAGCTGACGATCGTATTTGAGGAACAGAAGCAGCCAGACAGTGCATGCATCTGAGTGGGAGCTGGTCTCACACTAATGAAAGTCTCCCACGATAAGCTGGCTAAACATGTATTTCCTCTTCCTGATTTTACTATGTTTACGACTGCAACCTATTCAGGAAGTGTAAGGGACAAATTTATACAGCCACATTACTTTAAATGCAAATCTCATATGAAATGAACTGTTTTATTTTAAATATTGCAATGACTACACAGACATGCATCAGGCTACTAGAACAAGCATTAAAAAATGCAATGCATGATTACACATACACAAACCTTTGTACGTGCATTCCTTTTAATGCAATATTTTTATTTATCTGAACATTGCACGTGCATGCATTAGGAATCTTGATGGAAAACATCTCAAAAGTGCAATGCAATAGGATTTTTATGTATATATCCTGGTGTCTGTTGGACTGTCGGCCATTTTCCTGTAAGCTCAAAGCTGTCTGACACTCACTCACTCACTCACACACACACACACACACACACACACATACATACATACACACTCTGAAACAAGGCAGGAGATGGCTTCCCTCTTACACACACAAAAACAAAACTACCAGATAAAAAATAAGGTTATAATCCTCACAAAGCCCAAACAAACGTGTTTCAGTCATACTGATGTAAATAACGTCTATATTCCAGTCAAACATCAACTATGTTTTTATTTACTTTATTTTTGTAAAAATCCTTCATTTATGTATTCATTTAATGGTGTCGTATGTTTATTTAAACACTCTGACCGACCACAGGTACAACAAATAAACACGTTATAAAAAATTTAATGGCTAAAAGCAATGTTGTTATTAACGCTGTGTTGAATTTCAATAGCCGGTTAGCGTTTGTGCTAACGAAACTCACCACATCCTGAGGGATCAAAGCTTCATCCTTCTCCTCCTTTTTTAAATCCTTCTGTCCGAGAGCGGAGTTGAAAGCGAGTTTCACCATGTTGTGTAACTGAAATTTGTTTTGTCAAGGTATTTTTCCCCCCACCGAACTACAGCGAAAGCTTGGCGAATCCGACGACCTCTCTGTACACTGTGCTGCTTCACAACTTGCTGTGGCGCATTTAGCTCGAGCCGACCGGATTCAGACTGTATGTTCATCAATGAACGGGGAGGGGGCGCTGTTTCCACCAAATATACATAACATCGTTTGTTTTATTTTAATAAAGTTATATTTCAATGTAATAAATAAATTACATGAACACACAACGTATAATATATAATATAATATAATATAATATAATCAGTTCACTGATAGGGGGCGTGGTTTCTAAAAAATGAGACTGTCCAACCTACCAGGTTGAAAACTACCAGGTAATGTTTATTTGAGTGCAGGTAAGGTTTATGTGGAAAAATAATATGTTATGAAATCCTTGCAGTAGTATTACAAATGCAAAGGGTTTTGTCTGGTGGGAACAGAAGTTATGATGAAATATTGGTAACACTTTACAATAAAATATGGTACAATTAATTATTAATACAGGTTAATGTTAGTTTATTACTTGAAATGTGAAAATGTATATGTAGAAATTAGCATTGGGCAAAATTAAATGCTGTAAAAGTATTGCTTTTGGGATACCTAATGCATTCAGTAATGTTAACAAGAGATCTTATTGTAAACTGTTACCTAAATATTTTAACAAAATATCACACATAACATGCTGTATACTTAATATACCCTATACACTATGCTGCTTCACAACTTGCTGTGGCGCATTTAGCTCGAGCCGACCGGATTCAGACTGTATGTTCATCAATGAACGGGGAGGGGGCGCTGTTTCCACCAAATATACATAACATCGTTTGTTTTATTTTAATAAAGTTATATTTCAATGTAATAAATAAATTACATGAACACACAACGTATAATATATAATATAATATAATATAATATAATCAGTTCACTGATAGGGGGCGTGGTTTCTAAAAAATGAGACTGTCCAACCTACCAGGTTGAAAACTACCAGGTAATGTTTATTTGAGTGCAGGTAAGGTTTATGTGGAAAAATAATATGTTATGAAATCCTTGCAGTAGTATTACAAATGCAAAGGGTTTTGTCTGGTGGGAACAGAAGTTATGATGAAATATTGGTAACACTTTACAATAAAATATGGTACAATTAATTATTAATACAGGTTAATGTTAGTTTATTACTTGAAATGTGAAAATGTATATGTAGAAATTAGCATTGGGCAAAATTAAATGCTCTAAAAGTATTGCTTTTGGGATACCTAATGCATTCAGTAATGTTAACAAGACCTTATTGTAAACTGTTACCTAAATATTTTAACAAAATATCACACATAACATGCTGTATACTTAATATACCAGCATGTACAAAAAAAATATGACTGATAAGACCTAATAGCTTAATAGCCTTAGATATCATTTAATACACATGTGTGTTCAATAAAATCATTAGGCTTTTGAGAAGCTGGAATAACATTCAGTAATTAATTATCCATAACAGTCAATCTGAAAGTACAGTATGTCAATCTCACAATTTAAGGTCAGGGCGTGTGTCCTTTCAATAGGTCAACGCTCTCTTCAAAATGAGTGAGAAAAGGCCTAAGGCGAGTTCAGTTCACCTGAACCTGAATAAGGTTAAGTCAGGGAGTGATAAGGTGATTTCTTAATTACAGAAAATCCCTTTAACTCTTTCTGAATGGCTGGAAGTCCTGCTGTCTCAGGTTGGCTAATGGCAAGAATAGCTGCTCTTCAGGGGGAAAATCCTCCCACCGCCTCCATGTCCAACCTGAGAAAGAAAGAACTAATGAATCTGAAGCTTGCAGTGAAATACTGCAGCAATACTGCTGCTGCTTGGCATATGGGCAGATACAGTCAAATAACTAAAAATGAATCACTCATTTTTCAGTATTAGCTACACTCATATAATAAATTGATGTCTAATACTAAATAAACTAATTTATACTTGGTCACTACTTACTCATAGAAATCATACATACGACATAGAAATCCAAAGCACATGATTTGGTTTTATACAGTGCATGACTATGTAAATATCAAGTAAATCTACAGATACTTTTGCTGCCATACTTTGTTTTGAATATCGACATATAGTCTGGCTCACACTGGTGTTTATTCTGGCCAAAAAGCACCCATTTAGATATTAAAAGTGTGCCTAAACAAAATATAAAGTCACCGATTCTTATTACAAATAATTGAATATCACTCCAACTGATTATGTCAAATTGTATGATTATAACTGATGGATATAATTAAGAAGGTCAAGACTTTGAAGTTGGGACAGAGATTACTTGTGTGTAGATCTACTTTTATTTCTATGTTAATGTCATCTTAATTAATAGTTTGTCTAACATATCTATTACTTTTAACATAAAAAACATGGGATTTGCTTTTAGTGCTTTATAAAAAGCCACGTCATCATTATCTTATACTGTATTCAAAAAACATTTTAATATTTGCTCAAAACTGCTAAAACCTGTTGTAATGGTGACTGCCAAGTTGGCGTGAGACAGGCAATAGTCTCACATGACAGATTTTTATCACTATCATGAATGATCTGTGGGTGGGCCATCTGGGCCTGAGACTACACAGGCAACAACACATTCAAAGAAATGGTTTACCTTCATTCTTCTCTGGCTCCAAATTAACTGGTTCAGCTGAGAAAGACCTGTCCATTTCTCCCTGCATGAAGATTGTGACATAATGGTAGTTTTCCTCCAATCTGATGGAGTTGACGACTGATCCAAAGCGAAGGTTCTTCAGTCGGACACCAGCTTCCTCCATCACCTCTCTCTGGGCACATTCCTCCCAAGTTTCTCTGATAATTGAGATTAATTTACGTGCAACCCATGTGTATTAATGCACTGAGGCATAAGAAAAGTTAACGAATAAGCAGGAATTAGAGAGAATTTGTTGATACATTAGTAAAAGACCACATTGATGCATTTTTGTGACAGTAAACTCACCCGAATTCAATGTGACCTCCTGGTAACTGGTAGGTGCCTTTCCCAACTCTAGTTTTTCTTTTTCCTAACAGGACACATCCTGGATTGGAGGAGTCTGTCACAAGAACCCCAAGTCCCACTCCAGGACGTTTGAGGATGGGTTTTCCATTTTGAACGGCCTTAGACATTGTATTTAAACTGTGTTAAAACAGACAAACAGTTATATAGCAGTAGTCCAAATTTTATGTCTGCTGAATCCGTATGACCTAAAGTATTTACCTGGAGTACCATCTAACTTGAAGTTCTAACCTTTCAATAAAAAAATAGGAATAATAAAATCACTCCTTTTTTTTATTTTACAGAGTAAAATTGTGCATTTTTATTGTTTTACATAAAGACATTGAGATATTGTGAGAAAAGGTGGAGGAATCATTATTGTGTAAAAAAAAAAAAAGACTGATGTCTATGCACAGTTCAATTGATGTAGGCTACACCGTAGAAACAAATGTATTTTTTTGTTATAGCATGTCAAAAGTCATACCTAGAACTTGACAAGGTGGTGAAAATATTAATAGATCTGCTTAATTGTGATTTGTGGCTTAAACACCATTTTTGAATGATAGGTACATGATTCAATAACTTGACACAACGCACAAAAGTACACTCACTTGCTGCCATCTACTGGCGTAAGTATGAAAAGAGTCACTGAAGGAATCTTTTTGCTGAGCAGACTGAAAAGACTCGAGAGGGAAGGACGTGCAATGCTGGGGATCCGCATAAGCATAATTAAGCAACACTTTACTGGAAATCACATCATGGTCTAAACGTACCTATATCTTACTTGGTAGATGAGTCTCCTACCAGAAAGCACACCTTTCACGATCTGGTTGAAGCTTGTGCACTATGAGATGTACAAATTTGACAAATTAAATCATCTTAATTCCCAAAAGAAAGCAAATCGTTGTCACAGTAAACACGTGAATTGATTTGAATAGTAATGTTTGGTTCACGGGGAAGGAAATAGCCAGCTGCGATTCTCAAAGTGGAGTTGCGCAGTTGACGCACGTCCTGACGCAGGCGCGTGCAGTCATTTGTGTTTGTGCTGCGCTGATTGTGCACAGAGCAACATGGCGACGTCCCTGATCTGTGGCCGGTTGTCCGCTGGACTGTGGAATTCCGGCCCAAGGACGACTTTAAGCTCGGCAGCTAGGGTCAGTTTTGCGTACACACATCAGATAACTATATCCGACTGTCATTTGTGAAGTGGCTTGCTTTTTTGACCACTTTTAGTGACACCAAGTGGGCGATTCTCCTTTGACTTTAGCCTTCAGGCTAGCTGCCTGTCATTATTACTAATGCTTAGATTTGCAAACCTATTCATTTTCTACTGAGCGGATGCTCTTTTGGAGTTAGGCAGATTTAGGTTAAATTCTGTCTGGGAGCTTAATGTGTTTGTTTGTTTGTTTATATGGTTATCATACACACTGTACATGTCATCTGGGGTTCCGAGTTAACTTTGACCTACATGGACAGTCTGTTTTGTTTCACTTCAGTGTTTCTGTTCAACTCTAGTGCCTGCTGGTTAATAAAATTAACTCTTAAACCACTCAGAACTGCAAATATGCCTGTTGTAATTAACAAAATGTTAGTATTCTTTACTGTAAACCTTCCTGAATCATAAATGTCTTTTGTTTGGTCATTAGAAGGTTGTACCCTTGAGTAAGACACCCAAGTCGCTCCATAAAGGACTATTCCTATATTGAGTGTACTCTGGATTACAGCAAAATATTAATCAGTCATTAATTCATCAGTTAATCATCTTTATATTGCTGGTACAGACAGTTCGTTTCAATAGACATAATGATTCCACATATTCTAATATCCCACATATTATTAAAAGACTCCACTAAAGTCAGTTAAGTATTAATCTATGGCGCAAGGGAAAGGGAAAGTCCTTTTCCTTGTAAAGCTGAGACTTTGCTTGTTCATGTTTCCATTTGTGAATTACATTTAGCAATCTACAAAAGTTAGTGTTTGCAGTGTAAATATGACCATGGCTTTGTTGCAACAGTATCGCTTGTTGAGTCTCGTTTGCCAGAATTTATTTGTGTTGGATTTAATTAGCATTTTCTCTCTTAACTTTCGATT